TTTCAGACAAGCAACTCTTCCCCTGACGCTGATGATGACTTCTGCTGGTTGTCGAGTCGTCAGTCTCTTTCAAAATAATCAGTCCTTCCAAGGCTACTCCAATTCAAAGGATAAGATTTATTCTTCATTGCATGCTAGAAAATAAGAAACAATGTAGTTTCTTTGAAACTCTCATGTTTGATATTAGCTAGTGCGCAGTACTTCAAAACCCGAGTAATTTATATATAATCCTGAAAGTTCCGTGATTCTGAAAAATGCCGGGATTGAAAGATACTGAAAGATATCGAAAGATGAATAAAATAATACTGAGTGAATGGCACAGGATGTTTATCTTGGTTTCCACTACCAGGGAAGCTAATACTGTTTGTATTTGTGTTAATGTGATAACATTATAAATTAATTCGAAGAAATGTGCTGGGACGCTAGAATTACACATAGTTTCGACGAACAAGCTACTGTTTCATCAACAGAAAAGGAACTTTCGATATGGCTATCCTCTACAATTAATGTTTCCAGCAATAATCTGCTATGGTTCTCCAACTGTCATTTTCCTTCTTCAAGAAAGACGTCTTTATTAAAAATTCCATGAACAATTTGATCGAAAGGAAGTGGTTTCTCGAATCCACATAATTGAAATGAATACTCCGTTTTTGACATGTTTGAGCATTTATAAGCAGGTAGGTCACAATGATAAATAACCAAATGGATATATATAAACTCATTAATTCAGTTACGGGATCAATATCATAGGATGTTTGCTTTGGTTTCAACCGTCAGGAATAGTAAGACTGAGTGTATTTGTGTTAATTTGAAAACGTTATGAATTCAAAGAAATATTGTTGGACGTTGAAACTACGCCTAACTACTACAAACAAGCCGCTATTTCATCGATACTAAATGACCTTCTGACGTCTTCTGACGTCATGTCTTCTGAAATATGAGAGAAGTAAACTGCAGTGTTTAAAAAGGGCCTCTCTGTAACCTTCCTTCTTCAAGAAAGATCAGTCGTCTTTAATTAAAAATTCCGTTGAGAGCACAATGAAAAGGAAGTTGTTTCTCAAATTCACCTGCCCTAAGATAAACAATCTGATTATGACATGTTTGAGTGTTTAAATTGGGCGAAGATCAGTAAGCAGACAGCTCACAGAGATATACAACTCCAGATGAGTATACTCAAACTCATTAATTCATGTTTGTTGCTTAAAACATGACGATTTACCAAAACATTTACTGAAGATGGAGAGGCAAAAACTTACGAGCGGTTGTTTTGCTCTCGGGAATTAACTGCAGGAATTCACGGCTATCTGATATTTCTTTCGGCCTTCAATGTTTTGCTGGCCATTTGTTCATCTTTGGGAAATATTCTGATCCTAATTGCCTTGGTGTNAAGCTTCATAGCAACCTATCTTCTCTGCGGCATGTCTTTGTTGACACTGACTGCAATAAGCGTAGACAGGCTGCTCGCCATAACATTAGGACTGAAATACAAACAAGTTGTGACTGTGAAAAGAGCGTGTGCATGTGTCATCGTGTTCTGGATTGTTTCATTATCTGTGCAGCGATGTATGTGCGGAACGTCCGTATAACAATATGGTATAGCCATATAGTCATACTGGTAAGCTTTTTCACCTCCGTTTCGTCTTACACAAAGATTTTTTGGGACCTCCGTCGCCATGAAACGCAGATACGCAGCAGCATCCAGCAAGAGCAATCGAGTAACTCGAGTTCCGCTCCACTCAACATATCTCGATATAGAAAGGGAGTGTCAAGTGTAATGTGCCTGCAGTTAGCAGTAGCTGTTTGTTATCTTCCACATGGTATAATCACAGCTTTGTGGACCTATAATGGACAGTCATCGGCTATCATTGTGCTCAGACAATTCACAGTGACTCTAGTTTACTTTAATTCATCACTAAACCCGTTGCTTTACTGCTGGAAGATTAGAGAGGTGAGACAATCGGTGAAGGAATTACTCAGACGAACATTTTTTGCTGATAAATTTCAAGGTTTGAAATGATCCTCAACGTGTTTACATTCACCTTATAGAATTGATGATTTCCGATTCTTTTAATACCAATTTTTCAAGACTCAAGTCGTCAGTGATCTGTAGATGATATCACTAAACAATCTTTATTTCATTTATTAATATGACGCACAAGAGCAGGATGTATGTGTCAAATGAACAGGCGTTCTACCAATTAATTGACACTGTTAATTGCAATATACCTGGCTGACGGAAAAAAGGGTATTTTATATCCAGGGCTTGGATATGAATTTCAACTGGGAAGGTTGATGATATCCCTCAAGAGTGAGCGAAGAGAACTACTGTCAAACCTGTTTTGAGTGGCACCGTATAAAGCAGTTACCCGGCCTGTATTAAGCGGTCCTTTGTGAAAGTTCCGAATTTTTTTTACTTAGTTACTCTTATTCACCTCTTTTAAGCGGTCACCTTTCTGTAGCAGTCGGAGTCATCCTTGACAAAGTCTTAAAAGCCTGTTCGCATTGTCTTACAACTAAATTATATTGAACGTGAAAGTGGAATAACTAAAAAAAACACTAAGAATAATCTTTCAAGTAAAATTGAATCCATGTTTACCTCGCGAAATCAGTGTAAGAAGGATTTCTTGAGTGAGTTTTTGTTCATTAAGCGGTAAATTATTGGATTAAATGGCGGTTTTTACCCCATTTTGTGGACCCTGTGTTTAGCGGTGAACCTGTATTGTAATGTTTTGATATTATTCTACCGGAAGTTGTCCTAGCGGAAGTTCTAAGACATTGCAAAGGATCATGGATATTTGTATGGGCCATGCTTTCCGGTTGTCATGGCGGATGAATAAAGACTAGTTTCGTTTTATAGTTTAATCTGGGTTATTGCGCGGCCATCCAAGTGACATCGTTACAAA